AGAATCAGGTTTTGGGGTGTATGATACTATGATTCTCATAAGGACCCCCCAAAAAACAAAATAGTAGTGGTAATTAGTTAGGCCTACGTTAACCATAGTATAATAAGCCGCTCACATATGAAAGCCCCCGGGCCCCCGACGTGCACTTCCATTTCGTCGATTTGCACTCATCCTGTTTAGCGGCCGCCCCACAATCGGTGACTGCTGCTTTAGGGGTACTTGCGAAAAAATCCTTAGCTTTTGGCTACTATACTCCCCAAGGAACAGCTAAAACTGAGTTTTTGCTAAGGTCCCAAGTTCAGTTTTGTTCCTTGTCAAGTGCCTCGCTGTCTGAATTCTGTTTACTTCGAGGGGTAAGGGTTAGATGATGCGTACACCATGCCAGCGCATGTGAACATCCGAGCCGACTGGACCCAGCATGCTGTAACTAATCAGTACGTGTCTTTCATGCGGTCTTGTATAGGACTTGGGCCATCGGCCATGGGAGTTGGAGTTTCTGGACTATTCAGTATCCCCGTATGCAAACTTAATGCTGAAAAATGCTGGTCCAAAACCCGCAGATATCATTGTCTGAACCCTCTTGTTTCGTGGGCTCTTGGGTCTCAAACGCTATGTGTATATTCGAAAAAAGCAAGCATCAAGCTCCCAGTGCCACAGGCCATGCTAAGTAAGCAGAGTTCTAGCCCTGGCTGCAGTCGGTCATAGGCGTCATAGGTCTCATTTTTTGGTGATGAGGTTCTGTCTTACGCGTGCATCTGCTTGAGCTTCTTGGGCTATGTCTATCTAGCCTATGTGTGAGGGTTTCGGGGCTTGGGAGTTTTGCTGCTGAGTTCAAGGGTCTTGAGAATTTTGGGCTGTCTGCGTTGAGAGCTTTGATTTTCAGCAAAGAAGCACATCATCATAAGCCCGTCACGAAAGTAAGACTTTAGAGCCCTGTAGCCTACAGCCTTGCAGTGTACACCCCCTAAAACACCTAGAGTCCTAAACCCTGAGTTTCAGCCATCCTCAGAATCCGAAGCATTTGCGTGCAGCAGCCGAGTCAGTTTTGTAAAGGGCCTTCGCGCGCTCGAGGCGCCAGCTGCATGCAGACAAGCGCCGAACGTATCCGTATCAGAGGGTGGCAGATCCTAGATGTCTAAAGTTAGGAACCCCAAAAAGAACATAAGCATAAGCATTTTATAGGCATATCCCTACGTTATTGGGCTTCATTATAAGGGGATTTATATGGGACATCCCTATCCTAATTTTTGCTTATGTGCTTTTTTGGGGCCCTATAAAGGAGTTTGCGTAATGTTGCACCGTGTATTGTGCCCCCCTAAAACCTAGACGAATGGCATGTTCGTTCGAACTCTAGACCCTGAGCCCAAAGCCCTGACCCCAAGCCTTATAGTTACCTTAAATCTCCATCGTATTTTTTTAAACCAACCAACCTTTTTTTAGGTTCCTAAGGGAAACCCCCAAAGTTGAGACTATAGGTAAGGCTCCGTCGCAAGATGTGGAAGGCGGCCCGGTGCGCATGCCTGCTCCTGATTTCTTGAGCAGTGGAGGCTGATTGAAGCTATTGGATTCTCATAAAACCTAAACCCTAACCCCTAAACCCTAAACCCTAAACCCTAAACCCTAAACCCTCAACCCTAAACCCTAAGAGAGCTTTACAGGGTTGCAAAAAGGGGCCTTAATCAAAGGGTTCCTGAAAGGGTTCTATAACGGAGGGCTGATCCCACCCGTGAGCCAGATCTTGCTAATCTGTAGTCAAATCCGAGGATCGGATTCACAGCCCTAAACAATAAAAATGGAACCCTGAACCCTGAACCCTAAACCCTAAACCCTAAACCCTAAACCCTAAACCCTAAACCCTAAACCCTAAACCCTAAACCCTGATCTCGGAATTCCCGGGCGCGGTTTCTGTAGGGTGTACCTGTAGTCTCCATTGTAGTTGTTTACAGTTTAGGGTGCAGGGTACAGGGCAAAGGGTACAGGGGTCAGGCAAAGGGTCTAGTTCAGTTCCGGTTTTCTGCTTCGTGCCACTTTAACAACCAAATCCCCTAAACCCTCAACCCTGAACCCTGAACCCTGAACCCACATCCCCTAAACCCTAATCTTTGTATACGCAGCTTTACCCGAAGCCCCTACGCGCTAACCCTTGAAGAGTAGGGTAGTGATTCAGAACTGAGGACAGAAGTTTGTTGCAAATCTGACTAGGGTTTAGGGTTTAGGGTTTGGGGTATTTTAGGGTTTAGGGCATAGGGCTTCGTCTGCTGGTTTCTTGCTTGTTTATATAGGAGCCCTAGCAATTAGACGAATTAGGTGAATTAGGGTGTTGGACATAGGAGCCTTATCAATGAGAGTAGGGCGTGGGTGGGGTCTACGATAAACAACTTACGGATTCCTGAAGGATAAAGTCACTAATTGTCCAGGCTAAATCCTAAACCCTAAACCTTAAACCCTAAACCTTAAACCCTAAACCCTAAACCCTATATTATCATGTCTTGGTTGGGCTATGGGCCTGATCTTCCAAACCAGGGCCGAGACCAATATGGGGGCCTAAATAGTTTCCTACGGGTTTAGGGTTTAGGGTTTAGGGTACTCTTGTGGGGGGGTCCTTATTATAATTATAGTATAATGGGCCCTAAAAGCACATTCTAATTATTAAGGCCCCTTCTTTCATGGTCACCAGCCTTCGTGCATTGCGAGAGCGACATCTCACAGAATTCGACCAGGTCGCCGTGTCCTGCTCTGTACTTTCTTCATGGTGTAGTTTGCACCACAATGCTGGAATTTCCGTGCATGCAGCCAGGGGGGGGCCGGAGAGTTTAGGGTTTAGAGCTCAGGTTGCCAACAATCCCAAACGTGATTCGTCTTGCCCCAAAGGGTCCTAAGTACCTATACATAGTAGAAAGTTATATAGGGGTTCTATGGTAGGAGTTTTTTTTTCGGTTTAGGTAAGCATCCCCCATGTAGGTGCTGAGGACCCTTGGGGCACGCCTTCGCTTTTCAAGCACCCAGAGCATCGTACGCCCTGAGCTGGTCTTCAAGTTGACGGGCACAGGCTAGGAGCAGCAAATAAAGTCTGTGTCATTCGGTACCTGTATTCTTCGTAGCCTGAGGTTTACGGTTCAGAATTTGCGACAATTTCATGGCAACCCCTATATTTTACGGCCCCAATTCATCGATGGATGCTGTGTGCTTTGGCAAAGCCATGCACATAACAGCAAGAAACCGTGCTCGCAAATGGAGAATAAGGCTTCGGGGTAACCACATCATACATTATACTACAACTAGACTTTCAGAATGAAGAACCCTACTATGTTACAGGGTGACAGAGCCACCATGCGTCGCCAGGATTTCCACTTCTGAGCGTTGAGGGCTTTAGGATGAATGCCAAGGCAAGGCTAAGGCAAGACCCCTTCCTTTCTCAGCCTTACCCGAAGGCTTAGGGTTTGGGGTTTAGGGTCCATGTGCCCAAATAGTATAGTACTTTGGCCCAAATTACATTCACGGACAACTTTTAAGGCCACAGTATATACTACTTGGAGACATGGACCCTTTGGGTTACAGAGCTGTGATGGGCTGCAACCTAAGCCCTGAACCCCCCAAGCCCTGAACCCTGAGCCCTGAACCCTAAACCTAGGCACTAAACCCTCAAACCCCAAAGGTTTAGGGTTTAGGGTTTAGGGTTTAGGGTCAAACCCCAAACCCTGAACCCGAAGCCATAAACCCTAAAACCTAAGCCCTAAACCCTTAATCCTCTAAACCCCAAACCGTAAACCCTAGCCTGGTTCCGAAGCCACGAAAGCCCACGGCCCCAAGCCTCGAACCCCCTAAACCCCATAAGGTTAAGGGTTTAGGGTTTGGAGGTTAAGGGTTTGAGGTTTAGGGTTTGGGGTTTGGAGTTTGGAGTTTAGGGGATTAGGGGTTAGGGTTTAGGGTTTTAGGGTTTCGGGTTTAGAGTTTAAGGTTTGGGGTTTGGAGTTTAAGGTTTAGGGTTTAGGGTGAAACCCCGCAAACCTCCAAAAGCAGCCCTGAACCCTCAACCGCAAACCATGAAGCATAGACCCTGAACCTTGAATCTCAAACCCTCAACCTTACCTTAAGAACCCCAAACCCACTTTTTTGTAGGTTCTTATTATAAACCCTAGTATGGGATTTATAGGGGCCCTACCGAAAAGTAGGTTTTGGGCTCTTAAGGTATAAATCGTAACACCGCAGCCTGAGATCTCCCCCAACCGAGTCTCCACGCCAAAATACGCCCGATCCGCCATGCTGATCCCGAACACCCTGAAGCCCTGAAGCCTTAAAAATGAAGCCCTGAAACCCTGAAGCCTTGAAAATGAAACCCTGAAGCCCTGGAGCCTTACAAATGAAGCCCTGAAGCCCTGAACCGCCTGAACCCCAAGCTGCAAAACTACATCTCAAACCCACAGCCCTGAAATCCAACATCTCGAGCTTATACATCCCCGATAGAAACCTTTCAAGAGACCCGTCAAGGAAACCTCGCCAAGCTGTATGTATAAAACCATGTTGAGCCCTTATCTTATAGAACCCCCAAATAACATATACAGTTCAGAAAATCCCAACGCACAAACAAAGCCAAAGCTTGAGCCCTAAATCCTACCCCCCAAGCCTTAGAGTCTACAGCCTAAACCAAAGCCTTACACCCCAAACCACAAACCCTAAAACCTAAACCCCAAACCCTCAGCCCCAAAGCTGAAGGCCGTAAACCCTCTCGAACCCACAAAGTCCATAAACACTAACGTTATGGAGTTAGGTCCCAAAAAACCATCCTTTATTACGGCTTGGGAGACCATAATAGTAGTATATATGGACCCTCTTGGTACCCTATACGGTAAGCGCTAAACCCCAAACCCCTCAACCCTAAACCCCTCAACCCTAAACCCCTAAACCCTAAACCCCTAATCCCTAAACCCCAAACCCTAATCCTAAACCCTAAACCCCAAACCCTAAACCCTAATCCTAAATGGGGTTTGATTGTTCTCCAGGAGGTTTGCCGCAAGCACTTCAGGCCCGCGAGCAGCCAAGGCTCTTTAACACCCCGAGCGTTTCCGTGGCAAAGTTGAGGGTTGAGCGTTTTGGTTTAGGGTTTAGGGCTTAGGAAAAGGTTAGGGTTTAGGGTTTAGGTTTAGGGTTGACGGTTTAGGGTTTAGGGAAAGGTTATTGTTTAGGGTTTTGGTGTTTAGGGAAAGTTTAGGGTTTAGGGTTTTGGTTTAGGGTTTAGGGTTTAGGAAATGTTTAGGGTTTGGGGTTCAGAGTTTAGGGTTTTGGAAAGCATTTACGGCTTTAATGTGATTGAATTCTCCTAAAGTTGTTGTTGGCTTTCGGAAAGGGGCTGGGCCTTCAACAAGGGAGTTGAAGCTTTGCTGTCCATAGTTTTGGGATGTTCTGGAAACGGATCCGGGTTAGCAGCGCGCCTTGCTTGCAGTTTTGCACGGGTTGAGGTTTATGGCTGAAGGACTTCAGTTGGGTTTTACAGCCGCTTTAGGCTTTAGCATTACATGTCTAGGCATTGCACTACGGTTTTGGTGAGTGCACATCGGGCACCTTCGGAATCCCGGTAAACCGTAAACAGCCAAAACTCCTAAAACCCTAAACCCCTAAACCCCTAAACCCGAAATACCGGAAATTCGGCATCCTGTTGGCTCATGCCCCGAAAGGTACAAGGGGGGGGGATCTTCACGTGAAGGAGCTCTGGCAAAGTGTAGGAGTTCCAGGGGCCCTAAAATTTAGGGTTGAGGGTTTAGGGTTTAGGGTTTAATTAGGGGTTTAGGGCTTAGGGTTTAGGGGTTTAGGGTTTAGGGTTTCGGGTTTGGGGTTTTAGGGTTTCGGGTTAAGGGTTTAGGGTCAAGGGTTCAGGGTTTAGGGGTTTCGGGTTTAGGGTTTAGCCCTTGGTGGTTTGTGGGCTAAATAAACGGTGAGGCGATTAGGCTTTAGGGTTTGATGGGGCGTTCGGCTTGAGGCTTTAGGTGCTTGCTTGTTCCGTGGTTGTTGCAACTTCTGGGGGAAGTGCCTCGGAGATACTTTTTTTGAGCATAGACCATGCCATGATCATGAACTGCTTCTTATCCTCCAGTTCAGTGGTAGTTCTTTTTAGGGTTTCGGCTTTATGGTTCAGGGTACAGGGTTGAGACCCCTCTTTGGATGACGGGAAGAAGAATCAACAAAGCACAGCCGAGCACTCTGAACCTGAACCCTAAACCCTAAACCCTAAACCCTAAACCCTAAACCCTAAACCCTAAAGAACAGAGCTTAAGGCCAAAGGTCCGATTGCCAGACTGATCCCGCAAGGTTGGGAAGACCTATGGCATTTGGCATTTTGCGCATTACCGAAACCCCAACCCCCAAAACCCGTCCTAAACCCTTATAAACCCCTCGAAACCCAGGCACCCAAAGTTTCGGGTTTAGGGCGAACTCCACTGTTTGTTCAAAGCACAAGAGATTCACATTCGCGAGGTCATGGCTCACACAGAAAGATCTGCCAAGGCCTGAACACTTTGTCTGAAGAGGCGACAAGGCCGGGCCTTCGGACTGTTCCAATGGCATCCTCAAGCTGGACTTAGACGGAGCCGACCAGGCGAAAACGCTTCTGCCTCGCAATTGCCTGGACCTCACACAGTCGAAACGGTTCTGTAATCTGTGGCGACCGCACTGCCACGTGATCGGCTGCATAATCCATGGCGTCACTTGGCTCTATCGCTGGACAGGAGTCTCAACTACGTGATGGTTGATGTTCATATTGTTCTGAACTGCATCGTTTACTTGTGAGGTGGCGGAAGTCCGAAACCCTGATGCTGGCAAAATGCCATAATGTAGGGGCTTTAATAATTACCTATACTTTTCTGGGGGTTCCTTCTTCTAAGTTATAGTATCATGGGCCCCGACACCCTATTCTAGGTATTAAGGCCCCTATACTAAACCCTTATAAAGCCCCTATAGTAACCCTTATAGTACCACTTTTAAGGAACCCCCCAAACCCTATTCCAACTATTACGGCCCCTACATTAAACCCTCGAGCCCTGAGCTCTTCTGGTCACAGGCGCTGCTCGATGCGCTGGACGACGTCTTTCGACACCTCGCACCCGGCGAGAGCGAAACGAACAGCAGGGTTCAGATGCGGTTTAGAGCCAGCTTTTACAATCTATTCAAGCTGTAGTCGTAAAAGCATAAAGATAACGGTTGGCTTTAATGGCAAGCATAGCAGTCATAACAGTCATCTTCATAATCATAATTGTACTACTGCTACTGCTACTGCTACTGCTACTGCTACTGCTACTGCTACTGCTACTGCTACTGCTACTGCTACTGCTACTGCTACTGCTACTATTGCTGCTGCTGCTACTACTACTACTACTACTACTACTACTACCACTGCTACTCCTACTACTACCACTACCACAACAACTTATAACAGGAGGTCATCTTATGGTAGTAATAGTAATCATGGAAACAACGAGAAGAAGACTAAGAACAAGATGAACAATAATACGGATAAGAATAAGTATAATAATAAGAATAGTAAGAAGAAGCATAAGAAGAAGAACAAGCCGACGAACAAGAAGATGACAAAGGGTACTGGTGATTACGGCTAGAAGGTACCCGAACAAGCGTAGTTTGAGCGGATCAGGTTGAGGCCGGGCTGAAGTGAAGGTTCGGGGCTCAAAAGAAGGGGCCATAATGATTTGGAGTTTAGGGCTTAGGGAAGGCTTTTAGGGTTTAGGGCTTAGGGTTTAAAGGCTTGCAGAGTTTAGGGTTTAAGGTTTAAAGGTGTTTAGGGTTTAGGGTTTAGGCTTTAGGTTACCTATACTATTTGCGGGATCTTTTTGGGGCTCCTTATTATATTTATAGTTTGACATTACAGAAATCCCTAGTCTAAGAATTAAGGCCCTAGATGAAAGTCCTTGGGGTTTGGGGTTCAGGGGTTTAGGGTTTAGGGGTTTAGGGCTCGGGCGTTTAAGGTTGGCCACGGTTTGTTGAGTTACCATGTAATGCCTGAACATTTCTGGAAGGTTGTAGGGTTGGGGTTGGAGCCCAAAGACTTTGGCCTTGGTGCTAAAGGCTTAAGATATATACAACTCGGCATCTTAGGGTTTAGAATTTCGAGCTTAGGGTCTTTCCTTGAACTCATGGCGCGTCATCCGTGTGTCAAGGTGCCTCGCCCCATGGGTAGTTCTGTAAGTTGGGGTCCCTATTCAGGTCCCCAAAACAAAAAAGGATCCTACTTTCGAAAGCTACCCAAACCCTAAACCCTAAATCCCAAACCCTAAACCCTAAACCTAAACCCCAAACCCGAAACCCAAAGCCACACAACCTAAACCCCAAGCCCCAAAACCCTAAACCCTAAACCCCAAACCCT